CACCAGATCATACTGCTTTTCAAGCCAAAGGATATTTGTTCTACTCTCCATAATTCCTCCCTGCCTTTCTTCTGTTTCTGAGATAGCAGTTGGTTCTATTCCATGGCTACAGACTGTCTGGTTGGCTAGGACTCTTATTCTCAATCTTCTATAGTAGAAATGTATGGTCCTAGAACAATGCCTGGAACAGTACGTAGGACAGTCCCTTGCTCCTAGCATGTACTTAATAAATGTTTGTTGATCTTCATTGAATCTGCTTCTTCAGCTCTCAGTATTTGTATATAGGAGTCAAGAGTATAAACAAGGGCTTTCTGTTTACCTCTCCAGCTCAGTGATCTCAGATAACCATACCTTCAATCTATGGTTTGGGCCCTGGAAAAACCTCTCCTGCCCCACCCCCATACTCCAGGCAAGAAACAATTCTTCTCCACCTGGGCTCCAAAACTTTCAGTTTGACACGGTCTTGCTTCCCTGGGGATCTCTAGCCCCAAAAGAAGCTGCTAGATTTCTTATCTCCTCTCTATTTGGATGGACCCCTGATGCAGATTCCATCGGGTGTTACTGTGATTAATTGGCTGGCCTCTTGATGAAAAGGTCACACCTTCTACCTGACTCTCATAAGCTCTATGTCATTTGCCCTAGGTCAATAGGCCCTTCCTAGACTTGTGTTTCCATGGTCTTGCTCTGTAGCTGCTGCCATTGGCTAACTTAATATTTCTGAACTTGTGTTCCCAGGTGGGCCAATAGCTATCTACCAGATCTTGATTGAACTAAACCAACAGATATAGCCATGCACTGATAGAACCTGGCCAGTTCTGCCCTTCTTTCAGTCAGCAACCTTTCCAAAAATTGCCTCCTAGGTATCCCAGGATTTGTCTCCCATCCCAATGCAATGTCCCCTGAGGTGATATTCTTCCCTAGCTCCATCCCCATCCCTATGTGCTTTATATCCTGAGCTCCAAGCTCCCCTATTTCTCTCATTGACTTCCAGATATGCTAGCTATAATTCTATTAGATTTTAGGTTTCCAGGGGTCTGGAAACTTGTCCCATTTAGTTTTGATTTTGAATCCTCAGATTCTAGTAGTGCTTTACACATAATAGGCATTTTATAAATGTTTGTTGAATTCCAGTATGCTTAATAAATCCTATTATGTAAAGACATCTTGTGTATGATTTTAAAAATAAGAACAATTCTTTAAATAATTTATTCAGAATAAATTAAGAGTTAAATAGCATAATTCACAAAATAGATCCACAAACATAATCTTTGGTCAATACAACTAATCACAAGTAAATCATAGAGCACAGATATTAGTTAAATAAAAATAAACATGGTTACAAAATGATAATGCCATTTTTTTGTAAAGGCATATAAAAGAAATGATATTTGATTGAACCTTTTTGTCTCTTTCTAGCCTTATTAAAACAGATCCATTTTCTGGAATACATTACCAGTGAAAATAGATTTTTGCAAGCACAGTATTTCTTCACCCAAAAGCTTAGACAGGATTTATATAGATTATGGTAATTTTGGCTGAGGAACTAACTAACCCAGAACCATGCTGCCTGCCAAACCCCAAACAGGTAACAACTATAACTTGTCATCTTAACTATGTGAGATCTAGAGGCCTGAGGGATTCACAGAAACTGTGTTCTTTAAAGTTGAACATAAATTCAGCCTTCTCCAGGAAGCCCCCTCCCTTCTCAGACTTTGCTAAAAGAAATAACAATGACATCATAGTTTTAGCTCTAGGAGGGACCTTAGAGATCATCTAGTCCAAACCCCCTCATTTTATAGTTGAAGAATCTGAGACCCAGAGAGGTTAAATATTTTTTCCAAGGGCACTCATGTAGTACGTGGAGAATTGGTTTTTGAAGTCAGACTCCAAATTTAGTACTCTTCATGTTACACTGCATGTAGGGCAGCTAAGTGGCACAGTGGATAAAATCCCAGGCCTGGAGTCAGGAAGACTCATCTTTATGAGTTCAAATCTGGCCTCAGACATGGTATGACCTTGGGAAAGTCACTTAACCCGGTTTGCATCAGTTTCCACATAGTATCTTTGCCAAGAAAACCCCCAAAAGGGATCATGAAGAGTCAGACACAACTGAACACCACCACATGAATCCACATAATACTTTGCTTTGTAGCCCTCTAAAGCATTAGTGTAATATTGTACATTGTAATTATTTGTGATTGTGTCTTATTCCACCCATCTCACACCTCCAAAGTAAATGAAAGCAAGGACTGTGTAATCTAAGCTTTTTATCTATAAGGCCTAATCTAGCAATTTGTATGCAGTCGATGCTTAATAAATGTTTGTTGAATTTGTACTTTAATTTCTGACTGCATTGATTTCGATTATGATCCTTGATTGCATATTTGTGACTACAAATCTGATACCTTAGCAGATTTGCCCCTTCGGTCTCCTATTCAGTTGGTAAATGTCAAGACACTGGCCCCACTCAAGAAGCTGCAATCCAATCATTAAGACTTTCAGAAAAGAAGAAATTAACTGTCCTCAACTTCCTATACAGTAGTACTTTATTACTAGTAAAGGATTATAGGATTATTAATCCTGTGTACAGGATATATAAGGAAACAATTGGAGCCAAAAAAAATTTTTTTTTAAATATCCCTGTTTGTCATGCATTTTAATGTGAATTAGGAAGAGCTGCATGGAATGCATCTGCCTCTCTTTTGGGGTACAGCAAGAAGGTGTTTTAAATACAGTTATGACAACATACAAAAATCTAAACTTACAGAACAGATCATTATGAGATAATGATTCACATTATTAAAGAATTCTGCATTTTACAAAAAGATTCAGGATTCCACTAAAAAGCCATTTCCTCTAGAGCATACAACATAATTCAACTTACAGAAATTCAGTTTCTACTTAACTTTTTGCAATATATCCCTCACGTAAAGGGTGGCTACAAGTGCATTTCCATCTCACTAGTGAGGCCAGCATTCTGAAGAATATAAAACTATGCTAATTCTTAGCAGGTCATATTATCTCCTCCTCATCTGTACAATGAGACTTTCTGTCTTCCTCAGATACAAATTAAAAGTAAAGTGAGGTTTGAAAAACCCTAAAAAGATTAGAAGAGCAAGTAAGTGCTAGGCTGACTTTATAACAAATGAGAGAGGTTCTTGAGACAGGGAATGCATTGAGTCTTTAAGGTTTAAAATCAAACAATTGGGTAATGAAAAAAAAATTTGGACAAAGTTTAGTTTACATGAAAATCTTCACTAGGATGCACATTTTGGAGAAAATCCATTGTCTTTCATGCTTTTCCTAGGGAAAAAACTCTAATGCAAATCAACAACTTTGACAGAAAACTTGTTTCCTGTGGTGGCTACTTGTACAGGTGTCAAATAGTATCAGAAACAACTTCCTGTTTGGGGAGGACACCTCATCCAGTCTTTTTCTGACAGCTAGACTAAGGAAATGAAGATGCCAGGCTCGTTTTATTCTCTCCAAAATAAATTACTTTCCTTCTAGAGTGACAGGAAATTCAAATTCAGATATTATGTGCAAAGTAGAAATCTCTAATCTTAAATCTATCAATTTCCTACCTGCAGCTCAGAAGGTTTTTTTTAAAAAACAACAACCAATGGATTGCCAAGAACTTTAAGGAAACAAAATGTCACAGAGACAGTCAAATGAAGTGATCTATATCCTGTGTTGAGCGGGGCAATTCATCTTAGAATCTAGGTACGAGGGTGGTACACAACAGTGAATTCTGCCAGGTCCATATGTTTGCCTTGCTTGCTGTATTACAGTAAGAAAGATAATAGCTCACATTTCCATAATGATTTAAAGTCTGCGATGCACTCTACATATGTAGTCTTGTTTGATCTTAGTAAGGATTGAGCTAATGTTCTATTGTAGGGAAGACAAACTAGCAAATCAATTAATTAGAGTTTTGCTTTACAACTCCAATCATTTACGATTTACATGAAGTGCTTTCACTGAAGTTATTAGCACTAGTCAGTAAATTATAGCGTTTGAATCTCCTCTCATATGTTATAATTGCACATATCTCATGATCAGGGGCCCCAGGCTCAATTGATGCTTAAGATACTAATAATGCATGCAATTAAGGAATTTTATAATTAATGAATTATTTTCCACAAAAATAAATATTGGATCTGATTTATGTAAGAGGCTGGATGGTATAGTGGAAAAAGAATTAAAGACTCGGAGAACACTTGGGATCAAATCTTAGTTCTGTATTTACTAACTGTGTACAAATCATTTTACCTCTCTGGGCCCCTCAATTTCTGACGATCTGTAAAATGATGGGGTTACTAGACGAGGTGGCCTTTAAAACCTTTCCAGTTCTTGGGACTCTTTAATTGTTCTTCCTTTATTACAGATATCATCTATCACATATGCATGAAGTAGAAAGGCTCTCTTAATCAACAAAGACATACAGTTATTACACTGGTGCCTTTGTTTTTAAACTGTCTCCTAACTCATTCTATCTGGGAATTAATTTTGAGTTTACTCGCTCAGGTGTAACTTGTTTTAAAAACTGGTTATTGCTGAAGTGTTTTCTATTCATCTCTCTAAACCACTAGCCAAGGGAATCATTTGTTTTCCCTCCTAAATCAGGAGTTCTTAACCCTTTTTGAGTCATGGACCACTTCGGCAGTCTAGTGAAGACTGTGGACTGTTCTTTCTCAGAATAAAGTTTTAAATTCATAAAATAAAATACATAGGATTGCAAAGGAAAACAATTACATTGGAATACAATTATCAATTTTTCTTGTTAAAGTTCAGAGACTCCAGGTTAAGAACTCTGGAGAAAATGGAAACTAGATTAAAATCATCAAGGGTTTCAATCAACATTGTGCCTGTGTAGTATCATATCTTATAGTTTATTCATGAAACAAGCTATGGAGTAAAATAAGGCTGTTGAACTTGCTTTGGGGGTGGGGGGTAGAGGGTGGCGGGGTGCGAAGAAAACACAGAGGACTTCCCCCTGCTCAGTGCTCTGTAACTGAAGGTTCTGGCCGGTGTTCTGGGAGGTGGCTGTCTGGCTCAGGTGAGGGAGCCCTAGAGTCTTCAAGGGGGGTCATGTCCTCTAGGCTTGGCAAGCAGGGCACTTGCTGGAATAGTCCCAACACGCTCCCATGAGGTGCTACTCCTGTCTGTGGCAGGCCTTGCTCCCCCAGGACGGTGGCCAGGAAGTTGATGTACCTCATTGCTAGTCGCAGGGTTTCATTCTTGCTCAGCTTTTTATCTGGGGGGTGAGTGGGGATGAGCTTCCTCAGCCTGGCAAAGGCATTGTTGACATTTTGCTGCCTCCACCTCTCCCTGGTGTTTGTGAGGATCTTCCTGGCCATCTTTGACTTCCTGGGGTAGGGAAAAAAGAAAAAAAAAAGATAGACCAGGAGAATCAAGCAAAAGGGCTGACAGCTCTTCAGCAGACTTGTGGGAAGTTATGTCATCCCCCAATCCACCTGGCGTGATTGTTTTCATTGCTACTCTAAGAGAGCACTGGCTTCTATACAGACCCTCAATTCCCAATGTTTTCCAAGAGCTCCTAATGCCTGATGGACACCTTTCTGCCTGCATGACTTCCTAGTACCTGAAATTCAGATTCCTCAACTTGAATTCATCTGCCTCCTAAAACCTGCTCCTTCCACCAACTTCCCTATTTCTGTTAATGTCACCATCATCCTTTCAGTCATTCAGGCTCAGACCTTGAAATCCTCTTGACTCTTTCCTCTCCTTCACCAGTCCCCCCACCCACCGCCACAAACAGCCTAATTCCAGCCTTCATCTTTTACCAATTAGACTATTGTAACAGCCCAATAAACGGTCTATCTAGTTGTAGATTCTCCTCTACTTAGCCTATCCTTCACACGTCTGCTGCCCGCTGTGTAACGTCCTTAACTCATCACTTAGATCATGCAACTCTTCTATTCAAGAACATTATGTGGCTCCCCACTGCCTAGCTATTGGCAGAGAGGGTAGATCACAGGGTTGTTTGTTGCTTTTTTTTTTTTAATTTTTTTTCTATTTCTTTTTCTTTTTTTGACTAGAACAACTAACAAAACATGGAGGGATTGTGATTTGTAATGGTGGAAGGAGTAAAGACACTGATGGAATTGTGGATCTTTTGAAGCATTAAGAAAAAAAGGGTGGTGGTAAGAGGAGATTTCATAGAGTACTTGGTACTTCACTGTACTGAAAGAGTGCATATACCTGAAGCCTGCAGCACTGAACAGAGGGAGGCAGATGCTCACCTAAGCACCATTATGCTCCTCTTTCTCTCACTCTTTTAGTCTGTAGCAATCCCTCCATGCTAAGAACAGGGCATTTCAAGATATAGCTTTTTCTTGGCAATGTAATGAGCATAAAAGGATATTCAAGAATGAGCATTTGGTAGTCTGAGTATGGATGGATTTTTAAAATCAGGGAACACAAAATAATTATCTTTAAATGTTATTCTCTTCTCCTCCCTCTCCCCCCCTTCTCATCAAACAAATGTTTGATCAGTGGATATCTAGACTGTGGCAACTCTGGATACTATATGGTCTTCTCATTAGAATATCCTATTATACACAATAACCAACCATAATTCTGAAGGACTCATGATGAAACACATCATTCACCTTCAGACAATAAGCTGATAGGCTCAGAGTGTAAATTTAAGGTTTTCTTTTCTTCCTTCGTAGCCCCCTCTCCTTTTTTTGGACATGGCTAATGTGAGAACCTGCTTTGCCTCACTATGTATCTGTAACAATTTTGTTTTTCTTACCTTCTCAATGGGTAGGGGAAGGAGAGGAGGAAAAGAAAGGATTTGGAGCTGAAAATAAAATTAAATGGAAAAAATTAATGTAAAAATAGTTTTTAAAAGACTACCCTGTTACAGAAGCTTCTGCAGGGCCCACAGGGTCATATGGCTTTCTGGGTTAACACTGATGGTCTGACGTGACTACAGAGTCACATGGCTGTGAGAATCAGGAATTTGGATGCAGCCTGATTGCATAATATGTCATTCTTTGTACCTTTCCATAATCATGCATATTGTGATGCAGGAAACATATTTTTACTTTTAACTATTCATTTCACTTAATTTCTTGATGCCTCAGACAACTCTAAGACACACTAAAGAAGAGTGGCATAAATAGAAAAAATTCCCACAAAGGGAGTGCTTCTACTGTGATGAAGTCACAGGTCTGGCCCTCTCTTCTACTTTCTCCCCTCCACTCCACCCCCCCAAAAAAAACCTTTGAGACAAGGATTATAATTGCTACTTTGCATGTGAGGATGCTGAAGCACAGAGAAGGACATTAAGTGACTTGCCCAGGATCACAGAGTAAGTCAGTGGCAACTTGAACCCAGGTCTCCTGTCTCTTAATTTGATGGTCACTGAATTGTTTCTCATAGGTCCAATACTCCCTTTGGATATCCTGGCTTTAGCGTGCACAGTAAACTTTTCTATAATTTTCCCCCTTCTCAAGTTTGATTCTTCAAGGCACAGATATGAGATTCAAGTCAGCCAAGCTAAGCAAAGGGTTATAAGTAAACTTGATAACCATGTGTTCCTAACCCAGCCTTACCGTGATGTCCCCCTGTGAATTTCAGTAGGCCATTTAATCTGTTATGCTCAATTTTCCTACTCAAAGACTGTGGTCTCAGCAAGGTCTGGTCACTCAATAGTGGAGAAGACTAGATCTCAGAAATGAAAGGGCATTTAGGGCTCTTCATTATGGCAGAATGGATGAATGGGAATTATGTACTTCCTTTAAGACAGAATAAGGCAAATTCATCTACATCTTGGGGCCCTTCAAGGGGATTGTTGTTTGACAATAGTTCATTAAGTTAAGGGATTTTTATTTGTTTGTTTTTGTTTTTTGGAGAGGCAATGGGGTTAAGTGACTTGCTTAGAGTCACACTGCTAATGAATGTCATGTGTCTGGTGCCGGATTTGAACTCAGGTCTTCCTGACTCCAGGCCAGCTACCCACTGCACCACCTAGCTGCCCCCAAGGATTTTTTTAAAGGCAGAGATTTCCACAGTGTGGAAATCCAGGGACCGAGGATAGGCTACAAAGTGCTTCCAAGTAGTCTGTGGGTCAGTGCCTTATACAATCCCTAATGATACTTTTTGTTTAGTCATTTTCAGGCACTTCCTACTCTTTGTGACCCCATTTGGGGTTCTCTTGGCAAAGATACTGTAGTGGTTTGCCATTTCCTTCTCCACCTCATTTTTTACAGATGAGAAAATGGAGACAAATAAGGTTAAGTGACTTGCCCATAATCACATAGTGAGTGTCTGAGGCTGGATTTGAACTTAGGAAGATGAATCTTTACTTGATTCCAGGCCCAGTGCTCTATCCACTAAGCCACCTAACTGTCTAATGACAAGAATGGTAGTTAATATTGTTATATCTAAACTTTACTTACATTTACAATTCACAACCTGCTTTTTCATCCATTATCTCATCTTACAACCTGAGGTAAGTAATAAGTATTATTACCTCCATTTATTTATGCATGAGGAAACTGAGGCTCTAAGCGTTTAAGTGATTAAGATATTTAAGATTCAAAATGTAAATGTAATAAGCAGACAGCTGTATTACTCAAGGTCACACAGCTAGTAAGTGGCCAAGCTGGGATTTGAACTCAGGTCTTCTGCCTCTAAACTCAAGGTCCTTTCTACTGTGACACAGCTGGATAATAAGACAATTCCTTTAACTTGGTTTGTGACAGGAATTCATCATCTTCCCCCATAAAGGGAAATGAGGGCCCAAGGCAATTACCCAGAAAATTGAGACTAAATCAAAACTACTTGCCTTTCTTATGAGGATAAATGTTTTAGTGCTCTCCTTTGAGCTAATGGATAAAAACAGTTCCTGGGAAATTCTCTTTATGCTCCCTGGACATCAAAACACACTAAGAACTGATGAGCTGGGCAAGGGAAAGAGAACAACTTAAATCATCAGATGTTACAGTCATAGTATCCAAATTCATTTTGTTCATCTGGAGTTGAAGGAACTGTTACATGGAAAATCTTCTGAAACCCAGCTCCTCGCCAACAAACTGTTCAATGAACTAAACAAAAGTCAAATTTTTCTACCTTCTCTCTCTCCACAAGTAGGTACTCCCATCACTGAAAGTCAAGCCTTTGTACTTGGCAGTTACTTAAGACAAATCCAACTTTAGTAGTGTGTCTAAAGCACAGGTGATGTACTGGATAGAGGGTTGGACTTGGAGTCCAGAAGACATGAGTGCAAATGTCGCTCTAGACACTTTCTAGCTTAGCCCCTGCTGGCCTCAGTTTCCTCATCTAAAAACAGAGATAATACTAGCACCTGCCCCTCAGGATTGTTGTGAGGATGAAATGAAATAATAATTTAAAGCACTTTGCAAACCTTAAAACATTATATAAATGCTAGCTATTAAGTGAATATGAATTCATAGTGAAAATATGTATTTAAAAGCCAGTTGAACAATTAGGTAGGTGCAAAAACACAGGAGAAAAGCTTCAGTGTTCATAGGGCATGACTACTTTCCCCATCTAGAGAAAGCCTAGTCTATCTGATGGGGCACTAATGATGGATCCCTAAAAGGCCTTGGACTTTCCCACATGGCCCAGGTCCCTGGTGGTGTCCTGGGGCACTGAGCCCTTCCCTAATAATCCTTGCAACTGCCCTTTCACTGTGACCCTCATTGTCTGCACCTGGCCCCAACCTAGACCACCACTCCTTAATTCCATCTAGACCCCTGCTCAGTTACCTCCCAGTCACCCCCAAGCTATTGGCCACACTATAAAAAAGGTCAGGCTCAGCTACCAAATTGCTTAGATTCCTTGTGTCTGGCCCACTAGTCTACACAAGTGTTACAATAGCGCAGGTTCTTAAAAAGCCTGCCCGCTTCTATCGGCAAAACAATAAACCTCGTTTCTGACTGAAAGACGGCTTGAGTCAAATTTTTTCCAGGTAGGACCCAGGTCTTCTGACCTTGAATTTTGGGGTTCCCAATGATGAGGACGGGATCTAGACCCCAAAAAGGAAAAACCCTGGATTTTGGGTTAAATCTCTGGTGTTTGCCTGAGGCTATAATCCTATCAACTGGTCAGTTGTTATTGCCTACACCCAACCTCCCAATTCTATTAAGATTAACCTAGCCTAGCCCTCCATTGTCTTACCTCTCTATGGCCCCAGGCTACTTCCCACCCTTAATTCTATCTAGGCTCCATTCTCCCTTGGCCACATGGTCCAGGTCCCTGGAGTTCTATTACCTCATAGACTACTTGGCCACTCCTAGATCCCTCCCACAGTCTTTCTGTATATAAGGTCCATCTTGTCTCCATTAAGATGCTTAGATTCTTG